GTGTCTTACTGTACCTGTAGTACTATATTTCACTAAAACTATTTGTATGCTTATTCCTCCCTACTGGATAGTAAGCCCCTTTGCAAACGTTCTTGTAGGGAATAAATGAAAAAATAGCTTCAGTTCAATCATGAAATGTGAACAGGGGAAGGAAAAGGCAAAGAGCCTGCCTAGATCTGTGTGTATACACATACCCTCACTGGAGCAACGAATATGGGTAAATGTCTTACTGTTACCTTTGTTCAAGAATTGATTATTAGGGTTAAAGACCATTTTGTGTGTGTGTGTGTGTGTGTGTTTGATTGTGTTCACAAAAAGGAAATAGTCTGATCATATAACATAAATTCTTTCTTTAGTTTGCCATCACATCATAATGACTCACCTAGTCATTCTCAGAGGGGAGAGTCTCCTGTTTCCTTGGCAGAGCGGCGGCGCAGGGACAAGCAGCATCTTGATGACATCACAGCAGCGCGGCTCCTGCCACTTCACCATCTGCCTGCACAGCTGCTTTCCATAGAAGACTCTTTGGCACTTCAGAAACAGCAGAAACAGAATTATGAGGTATTTAGGGCATTAGGATTTTTTCCCCCCTGCTTACATATGTTAGGATTTACCCTAGGTAGTTCAAGGAGGAAATAATTTAATAGAAGGGATTAGGTGCTAAAGAAATGGTCAGCTGAGGAGACCATTAGTTCTTATACATGTGCCATTAGTTTTTAGTTACAAACTTAATAAAACTGCAGGAAACAGCTGGAGATGATCATAACTACCTGTAACCTCAAAGTGATGATTTAACAGGAATTATGGAGAGACTACTGCAAAATTTTACATCCAGCCCATGCTTCTGCCTGTTCCGATTAGGATAGCAGTACTATCAACTCGCTCTTCTGCCTTATAAAATCCATGTGATAGCTTCTCAGTGGTGGAATTTAATCCAGGGAAATATAGCTCCCAGACTTCCATCTCCAACAATACAGAGGCAGCACAGAGTGGGTGGGAGGATAGTGTTATATTGCCAATAGTAGGGCAATGAGCCATAATCTGAGAAAAGAATTTCCTACTTTGGGCATCTAAAATCAATTTTATATAGCACTTTCTCCAAAGATCTGTGTGTTTTGCATGAAATTTAAGCATGTACCTTGAGAGTTTGTGAATGGGAGTTAATAGAACGGGGGCAAATAGTATGAGGATCATGGGGTTATAGAAAGGATTTGACATTCTTAGATAATAATTTGAGCCTCCAGGAAGACAGCATCCTTTCCTACTTCCTAGATAACTACTTATCTAGATTTCAGTTAAGTACCATGCACCAATTAATATCTAACTAGCTTATTAATCTGTTTTGGCTTTTCGTAACTCACTTGGTTTGGATTAGCATTTTTAAGGCATTCCTTTTTACTCTTCCTCTCAGAGTATGAAAATGATTGCTAGTTATAGCTATAGCATTGAAGAATTGTTGTATAAATTGTCTCTGGGATCTTGAATGCCTGTCCTAAGACATTTTTATGTTGAATTAAACCCTTCAGCTTGAAATTGGTTTCTTTGGCAGAAACCTATTCATAATATTCATGGCCCGAGGGGAAGGACATAAAGACATTTAAGGGATCTCAGAGAAAAGGAAGAGCCAAATGAGGAATGAGCATTGTTCCCTTTATCAGTTGGTAGTGAAGTCCTTTGGTGTGTAAACATTACCAGACTGAAACTTGCTTGGACTTTTGGTTAGGTACTAATTTCTGTAGGACTTTATTTAGAAAGAGGTAATAAGCTTTTTAATATTAATATCTTGGTTTTGCCTATGCCATTGAACTGTAACTCTTGGGCCTCTGTATAGGGAAGAAGTTTCTGTCAGAGAAATCAACACAGTATTAGTAATTTGTAACATTTGATAGGTCTAATTGTTTCTGTATCAGTGTGTGTAATCACATACTTAATGTGTCTGTATTTATAATTGTTGGGTGCTGAAGTGATTACTCAGTTCTTATAGAGGTAGGCATTTCGATGCAATGTTTATTTATTTATTTATTTTTAATTTTTTTGTGTGTGTTTGAGATTAACC